ACTTATTAAACTTTTATTGGTTATATATAACCAATAAAATAAACATCTTACATTTCTTGCAAATTCATTAGTACCTGTTAACCTCCATCACTCCGACACTGGCAACCTTATTTAGGGATTAGTAACCCTCACAACTATTGTATTCTATTCTGCTCCAACCTTTATACCTGGTGGTCATACTCAATTTAAAATTGTTTTTCTATATACTTCTGTAAACTTGTTGACAAATTCTGTTTTTCATTGAGTCACCCGTATCAACAGTTTAGGGATTTGCATACATAATTTATTGTTTTATTACTCTCTCATACATAAAAATACACTATAATACATTTTTACAATGGAAGGGTCTTAAAAATTCGTTTTAGATTCTGACTACACTCTCTACGCCTGTGAGTGTAAGTTCCGTTAGTTGAACAAGATGAAGCGGCATTTGAAATTCCACCAAAGCCTGTAGAAGTTTTTGTCTGTTGACTGAGTCGTATGCGGCTTTGAAATCCACGAATATGTAATGGGTGTCGACTTCGAACTCAAGCGTTTTCTCAAGAATCTGCCTGACTGTGAAGATTTGATCCATTGTTGATTTCTTGGGTCGGAAATCGCACTGGTAGTTCCCAACTATTTGTTCAGCATAGAGGATCAATCTTCTGTACAATACGTTGGACAATATTTTAAATGCCACGTTAAGTGGGGTGATGCCTCTATAATTATCACACACCATCATATCTTCTTTTTTGTGAAGAAAGTGCATTACACCTAATTTCTAGTCTGCGGGCGTTTTCTTCCGTAGCCAGTTACTAATTTATGCATGTGTTTAAAAAGGGTGTCACCACCATTTTTAAAGAGTTCGGCAGAAGGATTAACCAAACCAGGGGCTTCGTTATTTTTCAGTTTTGAAATGGCTTCTCTAATTTCTTCTTTGGTGAGGGATGGCTCTAGAGCATTTTAATCCATTTCAGGAAAGGTAATTTCTATTTGGTCTTCTTCATGACTTCAATGTAGCAGTTCTTCAAAATGATTCGCCCATCTGTACAGTATCTGTTCTTTGTCACTAATTATGGAACCATCTCTTTGTTTACATGCTCTTATTCTGAGTTTGAATTCTTTTCTGCAGTTAGGTATTTATCGTATGGTAGAATTTTCGCGAGTCTTTTCTATTCTGGTGGTTAACAATCTCGTTTAGAGCGTTTTGGTACGGCTCTTTCTTTTTTAAACGTCCATTTTTCTTCTCGTCTAAGGATTTTCATAGTCTTCCAGGTTTGATCTCGTTCTGCGCTGCTGAAGTCTCTTGTATGCTTCATTTTTCTTTTGGTTAATGGATGTACATTCTTTGTCAAACCAATCTTTAATTATTTTAGCCTGATTAGGATTTAAAGAGCCTTTAGCCGCTGTATACATAGCTTCTTTGCATTTGGTCCAGTGTTCTTCTATATTTGTCTTCTGTATTTCTCTTTTTGTCTTTAATAACTAACAAATGCATAGTAACATTATATCAAATGCTAAGAAATTGTATTCTAATTCTAAAAATTTCCCGCATTCGAAATCTTAGTTGTTCCTGTTCTAAAATTATTGTATCGTTTATTTTTGTGGCAATAATAATTCTTGTGGCACACAGTAGCAAAACAAGTAAATCACTGTTATCGTCGAAATTGTCTCATTATTAGTTTAAAGGAAACATTGTTATGGGTTATAAAGTTAAAAGTGAACGCACCGTGACACGTCGGCAACGGCAACGTATTGTTGCAAGTCAATAAATTTAACACAAGTGCAACCACAATTAGCAATTAACAAATTAACAGTGCACATTTTATGTCCTTTGAATACATAAACCGACTCAATTTAATAGTCTAGACTTCAAGTATACCGAAGGTAGGTACTTTACAGGGAAGGAATGGCACATTTGATATACTAATATAACTAGAATATTGTGAGTTTACCGAAAGTACAAGCTAAATATAGCCGCAACAGTTAAAAATATTTGAGTTTGGCAATGTCGGAATGTTTTTATAATGCATATGTTGTGTGCTTTAAGTATAAAGAGAGAAATCTTTTAAAAAGTACATTTTGATTATACTATTTTATAAACTCTGCAATTTTTAATTTATATGAAACAATAACGAGTAAATATTTGTCTCTGTCGAGATTAATTGCAAACATCTATTGCAATCTGGCAACGGCTAATTTGACGATTGCCAAATCTATTCCCTAATAAATATCTTCTTCTTCTTCTTAGTCGTTAACCTGATGCAGGTATCGTGATATCATAAAGCTATTAGCTAAATTTCCCAATGTTCCTCCACGTTTTTCTATCTTCTGCCATTCTAGCACATTCTGACAATGAAGCGCCAATGATAGTAACAATATGGTCCGTGTATCGTGTATCTACCTCTATTTCTTTTGCCTTCTACTTTTCCCTGGATGGTAAGTTTTTCAAGACCATTTCTTCGAAGCACATGTCCAAAATAGCTTATTATTTGTTCTGATATTTGTGTTCTTAGTCTTTTCTTTATGTTTAGCTGGTCCAGTATGGATTCATTTGTTCTTCGGGCCACCCATGGTATTCTCAGCATTCGTCTCTAGCAGTAACATCTCAAATACATCTATGTTCTTTTTGTCTTTCTCAGCTTTCTCAAATTTATCTACAACAGCGATATTGTTTATCATGACCAGATGATTTTGATTGTTGTAAGCTCTGTCAATTTTCATTATTCACGTTTTATCTCCGTTTATTTTAAGGCCCATCGTTAAGCTTACATCTTCTATCCGTTGTAGCAGGTGAATCAATTCAGCTTCAGAACTAGCGAGGATAGTAATATCATCTGTATATCTCAAGTTGCAAATCTTCTTCCCGCCAATGGTGATGCCACCGTTCCAGTCCTCAGTAGCTTTCCGCATTATCCATTCACCATATATGTTAAATAGAATTGGGCTTAGTATGCAGCTTTGTCTCAAGCCCTTTGTGACCCTGAAACTATCGGTTAGTTCCCCATTTATTCTAACTCTGGCATAATTGTTATTGTACAGGCTTTTAATTAGCAGTATCAGATGATTGGGGACTCCCATTTCAGACAAAACCTGCCACATTTTTCTCCAGTTGACCAAATCGATAGCTTTACTATAATCTATGAAGCACAAATATGTTGTGATGTTGAATTCTCTGGATTTTTCTACAATCTGCCGTTTGTTTAAAATTTGTTCTCTAGTACCACTTCCAGGGACGACACCTGCTTGTTCCTCCGCAAGGTTAGGTAGTAAAAAGGGCTTTATCCTCTCGAGAATTATGTGTAGGAGTATCTTACTGCAATGCGCAATTAGAGCAATTGTTCGATAGTTGCTACATAAATCTTTCGCTCCCTTTTTATGCATGGAAATATATAGTGATTGTGTCCAGTCCTCAGGCCATTTTCCTATCTCCCACACTCTTTGACAAATTTGATGTATTATATCCATTCCAACGTCATCTAGGGCCCTGTATTTTAGTCCACGTGGAGTCTGTTATCCATTGTTTCCTTCTTTCTTCTTTATCACTCTTAACTTTTTTCGCAGCATTATGCAATATAGAGTTTGTTTTTGTCCATATGCTATTTGAGGACTCTTCTAAATTTAATGATTATTTGAGGTCACATAGCTTTTGCATTGCGGCTTTTTTGTACGGATCGTTATATCTTAGATGCCATTTAGTTGTTGTATTTCCTGTTTTTGGACTGTTTCCCAACTTCATGCGGAATTCAGCTGATAAAAATTGATGGTCGCTATTACAATCTTTTCCTGGATAGGTCTTAACATCCTAAACACCGCTCCTCTAACGGGTTTTTACCAGTATAAAATCTATCTGATTTCTGTATCTATTTTCTGGTGATATGCAAGTGTATAGTGGTCTTGGGTGATGTTGAGAGCCTGTATTAGTAACAAACAGGTTGTTGTCTATACAAAAGTGTAGCAAGCGTTCTCCTCTGTCATTTCTTTGGCCAAGTCCATATAATCCGACGGTCTCTCGCAAGTAATGATCTTTGTAGTTACAGCAATTTTGCGTTGAAATCGCCTACGACTGCTGTGATTTCACTATTTGGAAGCTTCCTAAGCTTCTGCTCCAACGTACTATAAAATGTTTCGATCTCTTCATCGTGAGCTTCGCTTGTTGAGGCATATGTTTATACTACATTAAGATTAACAGGACTGGCATTCATTCTGACAACAATTATCCGATCGCTGACGGTTATATATTATTTTACGGATGTTTTAATGGCATTATTTACTATCACTGCCACGCCATTCCGAGATTCGTTAACATTGCCGGAGAAATAAATATCATTGCCATTTTTTGACGTATAATGCACTTTATCCTTCCAGTGGGTTTCAGATAGACCTACAATGGCATCTAAATATATTAAAGGCTAATAAATATATCAAAGGGTAATTGCCAAAAAAATTCTAATAAATTCTTACTGCAATTAATCTCCAAAGAAACAAATACTTACTCATTCTTGTTTTATTACTATACATAAATCAAAAATTGTAAAATTTATAACATAGTATAAACAAAATGTACTTTTCTTAAGCTTTATCTTTTTATATTTAAAGCATATAGCATCTACATTATAAAAACATGCCACATTTCTATACCAAATATTTTTGTTCCATGTTTGACATTTGCGGCTATATTCAACTTGTACTTTCGGTAAATTGAACTCTAGAATATAAAAATATAAAGGTATAAAATTTTATAGTAAAACCATAATTTCTTGAACAAACACCAGATAATGTACAAGAGCCGATTTTTATAGTGAATGTTTTTAAAATTGCAATTTTTCAACCTTTCCCTTGGATTCATTTTTACGTTACCCACAATAATACCCAACTTCTGGACCTCCTTTATACCCATTTAGATTTATAGTAAGTTACAGTATTAAAGAATGGGAAGATAAGTAAAAGACAACAATAAAGAAATTATTAATTGATAATAATAAACGTACAGCTTTAATAAGATAACGTGATTCTTTTACCTGGAGTAATCATATTTCATAATTTCTCATATTGCTCTATTTGATTGAGTATCTAGAAATACAATATAAAGAGCTTATGTTTATCTTAGTTTTGAGTTTAAACGTAACATAAATTGTTTCTTTCCTCGTGATCCTGAATATTTTTTTAATTATGAATATCTCCTTTAGCTGTCACACACACAATCACGCGAGGCGATCAACCCTACCCCTAGGGACATGTGTATACCACTGTAAGAGTGGGATCCGAAAATCAAACCGGTTACACCTCACTAGTTGAGGTGGTACCTATCTGACTCCCAGGCTTTTCCTCCATCTCTCCTCAGCGTGTGACTTACGTGAGGAGGCTTACGATCTGAATGTTACGTAAGGTGTCTTGGGTAATGAGACACCTTCTGTTTTTAATGACTGTGGTTAGGCCACCTAACTGTAGGGGTAGCACACATGTCGGCTTTTCTCCCTATTTAACTTTACTCTATAGAAGTTACTCTAGCTTTACTTCGGGACTCATGTCCCTAAAAAAAACGCGTGTGTTCCAGACAGAGAGCCATTGGTCTAGACCGACAGATCTCTGTCTGGAAAATAATGTGTGTGGTGCTCGTTCACTCAGTCGCTGATTTGACAAAATAAAAATTTTGTTCTCCTCGCCGGCTGGGTGTTCGAGAAGTGAGTCCTGGCCACAGAGCCCATGCTTGCCGCACATGACCTCGATGCTCAGAGTCCGCGTTTGATCAATATTTGATCTGCCTGAAGGGCCTATGCCTGCTGACTGGTATAGAGTGCCTGACGGGCCTTTTATACATTCTTATTTGTGTTATGTAAATTTTGTGATGTAGCGGGTGTTCTTGTTTATCTTGAAGATGACATGACATAATTAATTAGACAGGGAGCGATTTTTGTTTTTAAAACTAAGTCTATCTATGCTAATACCTTAACTATGGAGTGTGCATTCCCAAGTGTATAACGCTCTCACACACTCCGTGTATATGTTTTTTGTGTTTTTTGTTTTCCCTATTCTAATCTAAACCTAATCTAACCTAAGTGTGCATGTGGTGGGGTGTGCATTCCCGGGTGTATAGTGCCTGCATACACCTCAGTGTATATTGTTCTTATATACTATATTTTTTTGGTGCTCACTGTCTAATATACTCTGTAGTCGGCTCTGTGTCTATCTCTTTCTTCATTTATCCTTCTTCTCTATATCCAATGAGTTGTTGCTTTGGCCGTTTATATACCGTTCTAGTGTTTATGTCGTAGTTTGTCAACTCTCTTAATGTCCTGCTTGGATGATTTACGAGACCATTGAAAATGGTGTTTGCTCTTTCGTCCATTGTCCTTAGGATTCTTTTCTGTCCAGAGTCCCTGAATGAATACCTCAGTGGAATGTATTGAGGTAAGTTCAGTGCTTCTCTGATTATCCAGTTTTGTGTTGTTTGGATTTTCTTCCTATTCAGTTTACATGTGTGTCCCCATGCGGCAGATGCATATGTTAGGGAGGGTAGTATTATACTAATAGCTACCCTCATTTTTGTCTTACAGCGAAGTTTGCTCTTTCTGCCGATTAGCGAAGAGAGTTGACTTTTTAGTGCTTTTGCTTTGTAGACGGTTTGTTTTACGTGTTCCGTGAAAGTGAGCTTTCTGTCTAAAATGACTCCGAGGTATTTGGCCTCGTTCGTCCATTCTACAGGGGTGTTTGCTATAGTGATTTCCCTGTCTGGTCTCCTTATCCTGTGTCTGTACATAACGGCCTGTGTCTTGTCAGGGTTTAAAGCAATTTTCCACTTTATGCACCATTTTTGGAACCTATTCAGAGCGCTTTGTAGGTAGCTGGCAGCTAGGTTTGGATCTCTACTGCTAGCTGCTATGGTTGTATCGTCCGCATATAGGCTAACCATAGTTCTCGTGTCTGTCGGAGTGTCAGCTGTATAGATAGTGTACAGATAAGGCGATAACACCGCTCCCTGGGGCACACCTGCTTCCAGAGTCCCTAGTTAGTTCAGATTTGTTACTCATTTTATAGAGATCCCAAAGCTAGCGACTCTTTCGGCTATTTTGCTTACTGATGATAGTAAGCTAATATGTCTGCAGTTTTGTGGAAAAGTGCCGTCCTTTCCTGGCTTTCCTATCATCATAACATGAGCTTCCTTCCATCTGTCCGGGAAGTGTCTTAATTTTAGTATACCATTAATGATCTTTGTGATGTATACTATTCCCTTTGTTGGTAGGTTTTTGAGTGCTCTGTTACCAAGGTTGTCCGGTCCTGGAGCTTTTTTAGCATTTGTTGCTTTTATTAGATTTTTTGCGTAATCGCGATATCAATATATCGCTCCGGATAAGAATGCTTCGATGTTATATTTTCTCTACCCTTTTGTATGGAGTTGAAGTTGGACACCTAAAAAATCCAACATTAAAAACCTAGAAGCATTCGAAATGTGGTGTTACCGACGCATTTTGAAAATATCATGGATGGATCGCAAAACAAACGAACAAGTTCTCGAACAACTAGGAAAACAATGCGAAGTTTTAAATTCCATAAAGATCAGGAAATTGGAATACTTGGGGCACATCATGAGAGGTGAAAAGTACGAACTACTAAGGAATATAATGCAGGGTAAAATCAAAGGTAGAAGAAGCGTAGGAAGACGTAAAATCTCGTGGCTACGCAATCTCCGTGAGTGGTTTGGATGCAGTTCAATTGAACTATTCAGGCGAGTAACCAATAAAATTATAATTGCCAGAATGATTTCCAATCTCCGATAGGAGTGGAACTTGAAGAAGAAGAATTAGATTTTTGACTTCTTCGGGAGATGTAGTCTTCTTCTTTAGCTGTCTAGTCTGAGTTTCTGTTATAACTTACACCTCCTAAGCTGTGAAATTTTTTTCGAAGATAAAACGATATCGATCTTTACCTATTATGAATGGTGATGATTTATATTATCATACAAACTTTACTACCTCTTTTTTGTGAAAGAAAACTAATTCCACAAAAAATTGTGTGTTCCTCATAGGCGTTATAACCAATATTTTTTGAAACAGTGTTTACCTATTTAAACAAAGTTTGCTTTAAAAAAACATAAAGAACTCTTTTGTACCTTTGTTCACTTTCACAAACGGCAAAAGCTCCGTCTTATACCTGTCCCAAATGCAGGCAAGTGTAGCTTAATCTTTTCTCCAGCAAAATACTTGAATACACTTCAGATCTTTTATTTCGCTATTTCTTTCAGCTAGACTTTCACACTTGAATAAATGCATTTCGAAGTACGGGGTTCTATTTAATATTATTGACATATTTTTGGGAGCTACGTGTGTCATCTTATTGTATGATGATAGAAATACTTTAAACGGTATGCTCTTAAATTATGTTCCTAGAAAATGGGATTTTAAAGATAAATTAAGCTGCGGCCTTTTTATCACTGTAAAATATTTATATGTATTATGATGTTGTTATTAATCAGGTTATCTTATTAAAGTTGCACATTTATTATTATCAATAAATAATTTTTATATTGTTACCTTTTACTTATCGTCTCATTCTTTAATACTGTAACTTACTATAAAATCTAAATATGGCTATATCACATGAATTGCCCTCTGACGAGAACCATTAGGTCGAAATACGTATCAAGAGATACATAGGATTTGTTTGCGTGAATCAAATATTTGCTGCCTTTTCTCATTTTATTCGGATTTACTCTGTGTGAGTACTAGAAGCACAATTCGCTAAGGATTTCTGCTTAGTTGTAAAAGGACATGTCGTGGAATGCAAATTTTAGATTCCCCATGTCTCTTTTAAACCTTTTATCAACGTTGTTTGCCTTGCAATTTTTAGAGGCACAGATTATAAAGCAGAAATTGAATTGTGTTTCGAAACTATTTTACGTTTGTTGTAATAGATGTCGCTATGGCGTCCGTATTGAAGCCTTGTATTGTTGCTTCTTAAAAGGCAAAAATATTGATTTTCTCGTTGAGGACCCCTATGAATAGATCTTCTGACGAGACTATTAGGTCGAAATACGTATCAAGAGATACATTGGTTTGTTTGCGTGAAATCAAATATTTGCTGCCTTTTCTTCAATTAAGGTCATTTCAACCTCTAACCAAGAACAAAAGGCTAAAATTCAGGAATAAAAAGCGAAACATCTGGAAAAATTCAATATCGAGAAGGGAGTAAGACAGGGTGTGTCCTAATAATCACTCTCTGCTTGTTCTAATGTTTACTCTGAGAAGATATTTCAGAAAGCTTTGGAAGGCACCTCGGATGGTATAATTATAAACGGGCAATGTATAAATAGTACCTGCGATATGCTCGAATGACACGTGTCGTACTGGCAGTATAATGCTGAAGCCCATGCAACGCTTAATGGACACCGTGTAACGACAGCCGGTAGAGAATTTGGAATGGTAATTGATTACAAAGAAGTCAAAAAACGATGGTCATCAGCAAGCACCAAAACAGTAGCGGTGAAGGTCAATGTCGACGGAACAGATCTGGTAAGAGTAACAATAACAACGTATCTTGGGAAGTAATCTTGATGAACTTGGGACCACTCACTCGAGATAAGGAATAACGCCTGGAAAAGGCAAGTACAAATGTTTTTACAAAATATTGCAAAAAGTTCGGCTGCATCCGCCAGCCTGGGCATACTCATTGAGAATACTTGAATACTTAAGTGCTATGTTGTTCTTCCACCTTGCTCTTTGGTGTTGAAAGCCTGGACATTGACAGAAGCAAAACAACAAAAAAAAGAATCCAAAGCATGTTCGGAACTCTGGTCGTTTACCGTAAAATGCTCAGAATATCCTTACATGGAGCCATGCGTCAAATATGCGGAAAGTCTTGCGGAGGATGAATAAGGAAAGATAGAGCTTTAAATGCTGTATAATTAAATAGAACGGAAAACACGAATATTTTGGGTCCACATCATATAAGAAATTCAAATGTATGATATGCTCCAAACTTTTAATCAGAAGAGTCAAAGTCAATAGCAAAAGACCAGGAAGAAGACGCAACTCCTT